GTGTGCTCTTTACAGGGATATTGGGTCACTGGCTGTTTGTCTCTTTGCTTCATGTCCTCTATGAGGCAAACTGCTTTCTCTGCCATGCAATCCCACTGTTCCCCAAAGCAACAGGGTTAGTTGACTATGGACTGAAATTTCTTAAAACTGAGCCAAAACAACCTTCTTCTTCCTTCTTGTCCTCCTCCTGGTATTCCTTCTCTGTGTGTGTGTGTGTACACCCTTCCACCGAGTTATATCCCCAGTCTTTTGTCTTTTTTCTGTTGAGGCAGGGCATAAATTGCCCAGGAGGGCCTTGCACTTGCAATCCTCCTATCTCAGCCTCCTGGGTAACTGGGATTATGGGCATGCACTACCATGCCTGGCATTTTAAAATTTTTTATATAGCAAAATATACCAAATTTTTAAAAACAATTTGTGTCTCCCTCAGAGGGATCCATTTTACAGTAAATTATGTTTTTTAACTTATATAATCTTTTTAAAATTTGAACCCAGGGGGACTCAACACTGAGTCCCCAGCCCTTTTCATTTTGTATTTTGGGACAGGGTCTTATTTAGTTGCTTAGGACCTGGCTAAGTTGCTGAGGCTGGCCTCAAACTTTTGATCTTCCTGCCTCAGCCTCCTGTGTCACTAGGATCACCATTCCCAGCACTGTTCTGTTTTTTAGTTATCTCTTGAAATGTTTTTGCATTGGCATCATCTACATTATTAGATTTTCACAGACATGATTTTCTATGGTCAAAAATTTATTCAAGAGATGGGGATGTACCTCAGTGGATGCATACCATATGGGAGGTTCTAGGTTCAAATCTCACCACTGCAAAAAAAAAAAAAATTCAACAAATTTATTGAATGGTCACTTAAGTTTTGGCACTCTTTCTTGGGGTCATAAGGGTATGACCCATCCATCATTCAGGGACTTGAATACAGTTTACATTTTAGATGTAGCAGGAGACAATAATAAAGATTATGAACAAAATAAAATAGGGAGACAACTCTTATAGTGGAATTCCAATACACTCACCAATGAGAATGACCTGAATAATTGCTCTGTAAAGTGTGACCAGTCATATCTGTCAAAAAGCCCTGTGTGGGCTCAGTAAAAAGAAAAGCTAAGTGTAATGAGTTGACCAGGTTTACCAGTGAGGAATGACAGGGAGATAACAAGGCATTTGCTTGTGAAAAAGAAAACCTGAATTCTAAAAGCATTTAGCCACCCGGTGACCCTCATAGGTTGTATTTCTTCCTGAGTCTTAGTTTCTTAAAATTTGGGTAGATTTGGCTCAGTTTCATGGTTTCCACTGCCTTCAGGCCAAACATTCTATAACCCCTCCAAATTCAATAGCAACTTGTAAAAACTGGTTTACAAGAGAACTGACTGAATATTCACCCACAGAACGCCAAGTAATCACTCACAGGTACTTCCGGAAGGCCAGGACAATGAGTTTGAAGTCCTTGGGACCGCACTTCCGGATAATTAAAGCTACGTCTTAGATGTC